TATATATGTAAAATAGCGTTAATTATTCAAACTGCCATATAAACTGAAGGTTTAATCTTAAATCGATTTCTATATAATTTTATTGTAATACATTTGGCAAAGCTAAATCATACAATTTTTAAAAAATGTTTTACGAATTATTGGTAATAATTTTATATACATGTGTTCTTATGATTGTATTACTTCCTAAGATTTAATATAAATATTATGTAAATGCGATAAAATTGAAAATCCATACTTAATAACAATTAATTACGAAAACAATTATAACTCTTTCTTCAAATGCCATCATAATGAAAAATTGTTTCAATGCTGCAAATAAAATTTTGATATCTCTTGCCCCCGAAATTACATACAAAAATATCAATGTCCATATGTTCATATTTAAACACAAAGCAAGTAGGCATGAATGAATATAAAATAGCGAATAATTCTTTTTACTACTTTCATTATAATTCAAGAAAGCAATAACAACACCTCAAAGAGCAAAAGGAGAAAAAAACACAAAAAAGAAATATAAAAATTTCTTGAACCTATGAAGCAGAGAATATTGCAAAATCTTCTTTGGTATGAAGCAAAAACGACTGAAGCGACGTCGGCAGAGATTTGAGTGATTTGGGTACCCAGTAGTAGATACCTAGAACAAAAATTAATTTCTATGGCATTGTGACTCTATAATATTTTTACTCAATGCTATATGAAATGGTTTAACACTCCAACCCCTCCCACATCAAGAAGCTGGAAAATTTAAAATTGAGTTATGTAAATGACCTATTATAATAATTTGTTATCGGGCTAATTGGTCAAATTTAAATAGAAATAAAAAATAATATTATATTATTTTATATAATATAATAATATTGTATATATAATATATAATAATATAATAATATTATTTCTAGAAATAGAAATAATAATTTATTATTTATATTTAAAAATCATTTATACTCTATTAAAAATAATTCTTCCGATATTTCGACTATCTTCGGTAGTCATCTTCAGGGAAAACTAAATGACCTACATAAAAATCGTTGTATTTATTTTGTTTATGTTTTATATAATGGAGTTATTATATAATGGAGTCAGAAATTTTTAAATAAAATAAACAACGGAGACTTATATATTCTAAGAAAACGAAACAATAACAGCAAAATTAGGGATATTTTTGGTTTGATTGAAAAAGAAGATGTTTTCATAATTGCAGAAATTGTATTTTGTAATAAATACAATAAAATATTTAAATACAATGGAAAACAATTTATTTCAAGAAAAACGATCAGCTAAAAGAATTGACTTTTGGGACCAAATGCATGAATTGGGACCAAATGCATAAAAATGTTTGTTAAAATGATTTTAACAAAATACAATAACTTTTGGAAGATTTTGGAATAAAAAATTCCGCTACTATTGTATTTGTTACTGATAGGGGTTTAAATATAGTTAAGGCTTTAAATAATAATATTCGCCTAAATTGTGCTAATCATTTCTTGAATAATTTATTAAACTCAGCTTTTAAGAAGTTAAAAGGACTATTGTCTATATTTGAGCATAGTTAAAAATTAGTCAAATACTTTAAGAACTCAAACCTGCAGCATATGCTAATAGTTTCATTTAAAAACTATTGTGCGACACGTTGGAATTCGAATTTATGTTTGTTCAAATCTAGTTTAAATAATAAGGCTAAAATTATGAATTACTCACCGAGAGTAATCAAACGCAAAAACAGCAAATATCAGCTTACTTATTTTGACTGAGATAGTTGTAATTTTAAAAAAATTTGATATTATTAGCAAAAAACTACAGGGAGGAAATTACGTCTAAATCAATTTTGTGTACTTATATATTAACACATTGAAAGAGATTTGACATTTGAGACTGACATTTAATATATAACATGAAAAATGTCATTAAATAAAGAATTTTAAAAAATATTTTAATTGCCTCCATAAATTCAAATCAATTCTACAGGTTAGGAAAATTTAATTGTCGTTTTTTCATATTTTCTATTGAAAGATATAAAATAGAAACACATACACTTAGCAGAAAAACTCTGCGTACAAAAAGTAAATTTTGTTTCAAAAATTATTATATAAATAAATTTTTTAAATCAATTTTATTTTTTGTTTGTAGTTTAATTCGTTGACTTTATTTTAAGCTAAAACTTATTTCTAACACATTAGTAGAAAAATTATAATAATTAAAAATGTAAAAAATCAGCGCTATCGGTGGCAGAAAAAGTCTGCGTACTTATAAATTTGTGTTAAATATTTAATTGTATTTTAGTTAAAAAAATATAAATTTTTACATAAAATTCTTATAAAAAATTAAAATACAATTAAATATTTTATGTAATAATATTAAATATTTTATTTTCTTTTATTTCAATTTATAAACGATGATTTTAAGTAAAATTTTTTTTAAAAAAACATCTATATATAAACATCGTTAAATTTATGATCTAAGCCCAGTAATAAAAAAACATATTGAAAATTGGTCGTAATAACAATTAATTAATAACCCAAATTTAAGATATAATACTTTGTATTCTAAATATGCTTTTCTTTGTTAAAACTTGTTATTAAAATAAAAGAATTTTAAATGTTAATAACCTTTAACTAACAAAAATATGGAAATGAACAAATTTCTTCAAAAACAATGAAGATATATACATTCTTATGCATATATATATATACATTATTTGTATGATCTATTTATGAAAAATTTATTAAGAAACTTTACAGGTAGTGAATGAAATTAACTACGGTCCTTTACTGATCTTTTCATATTAACTACTGTGCTTAATGACCAATAAACCTAAAAAAAATATGAATATGGATGCAGATAAAGCATTTTTAGATGCTTTCATCGAATGTTAATAAAACTAATCGCTGTTTGTGGGATGTCCAAAGCTGTGAATATAAAGATAGCAAAAAAAGAACGCTGCATATATAAAATATACAAAATTATAATCAATTATAAGCAAAGCACAACCTATACGTTAACTATCAATTTTTTCAATTTTAAAATTTTATTTTAAACACAAATTTTCACAGCACTACCCGCAAAAGCACTCTTCAAAAATTTTGCCTACTCTTGTGTGTCATACCTGTTCAAATTCGGTCGCTGGAAGAAATTTGAGCAAGAGAGAGCGCAACTCGTATGACACACCAGTATGATAGTCTGCACCCCACTTAAAGCGCGGTGCAGACTATCATACTGGTATGTCATACGAGAGAGAAAAACGTCGTATGACACACAGGTATGGTAGTCTGTACCTCTTACCAACATGTTGGCGTGCTCACCAAAATTTTGGTGAGCAGCTCTCGCATAAGCGTTGTGTATGATAGTCTGTCTCCCCTAACGATTCATACGTCATACAAGAGCATTTTTGCTTTGCAAATTTATTGTAAGCAGGCGATATATGTAAAATTTTAATATAAATTTAATGCGTTTTTTTATTATTTTATTATTAATGTATTTATTATTATTATATTTATTATTATTAAAATTAAACTTATAAATTTGTGTTAAATATTTAATTGTATCTTAGTTAAAAAAA